CCATCACCAGTGTGTGAATGTGTGTGTGAATGGGTGGATGACTGGATATGTAAAGTGCTTTGGGGTCCTTAGGGACTAGTAAAGCGCTATATAAATATAATACAGGCCATTTTACTTCTGCTCCAGGGTCTCCTCCTGGCTGGACATGCTTGAAAGTCCTCTGCTAATTTCGTTTATTTATTATTTTATTTATTATATATGTTATTCTATTTCTTTGTGTATTTGTTGTATGACATTCCTCTTTTTTGACTTGTTACATTTTTGTAGGACTTTAATAAATTCTTAAAACTTTGCCATCAACCTTCTTTTGTGTTGACATCTTCAGCACTGCTGCTCCACGCAGATCAAGGATCTGTTCACTACACTTTGTTGGCTGTTTGGCATCAGTTTGGCTCATTTAAGGAACTTTCTTTGATACAATTCCTATTTGTCTCTTTCACACTGTGATTATGAGTTCATAGAAAACCCCATATAAAAATAAATTGACATTGTTGGGCAAAGCCTTTCAACAGTGGAAATCTCAAAAAGTACGAAAGAAAAGTCGCACTTTTCCGCGTGGCATTGGGATACAAGCGGACAATCAAATTGCTCATGCAGCACACTCCCAGAGAAAACGGTAAAATCCTCTTTTCCTGCATCACTCCCAAGCTGTCAAGTGTCAGTTCAGTCTTCACCTACACCAACAAGAGATCCTGCAGTGAAACAAATTGGGCTTGCCCACCACCTCTCGCCACTAAATCGTGGATCCCTGTGGACATGAAGAATACCTGACAGCTCAGCACGAGTAAGATTTCACCGGAGAGGAAAACTGCCTGAAGATTAAACAAAGCAAAGCCTTAAACAGACACTAAACTGCAGAGAAAATGTGGTTCCATAAAGGAACAAAGGTTCCCCCTCGTTTCATAAAAGCAGCATCATGAAACGCTGTCTTGTCGAATGAGCGTTAGCGTCACTCTTATCTCAGTCAGCAATACTAGAGGATAAAAAATGTTCTTGGTGTCTCAGATGATCATGTTTTATACTTTGAAGCATTTAGCTGACTCTTTTATCCACAGCAGCTTTTACTGACTGAGCAGGTGTCATTTACTTGATGACACAACAGTTGACACAACCTGTCACCTTTTGTTAACTTGGCTTCAAGTGCATGTTGGAAAAAAATGAAAATATAACAAAACGAGGATCCAGGAAGGCAGAGGTGCAGTTTCCTTTGTGCTCATGCTCTCAGCATGAGCACAAAGGAGCATCAAATCGAATCCTACCTGTACTGTGATTGGTCATTGCCGCCCACGTCAGGACACCTCAGCTTCTGAACCAAGATCCGAATGATGCAGATGAACTGAATGAAGTTTACCTTGGGGGGAAGGAAAAAATAACTTGTAATCCATAAGGGGTGATTTTTATTTTGCTGTGTTCGATACTTTGCCACCCACCAAATCCAATAAATAGGATGTCATGATATAAACACAATTTAAAACAGGAAGGCCTTGTTCTAAATAAAAAGCAGCCTACTTTATTCTTTTTTTAAAAAATGAGGGATTTGTGTCTCATCATTGAACAGAGATTTTTTTTGCTTGTTAGGCAAATGTATAAAGTTCTTCCTTAAATAAGTAAAAAAAAAAAAAACAGACTGAACTTGTTTTCTGTTACAGTTATTTTCTGTTGTTTCAGATCTTTTTTAAACATTACAAACTGAAATAATTTTGCAAAAATTAGCAAAATATCTCTATCGCTGCATAATGCCATCATTCTAATGTTTAGTGTTATGTTTTTCCTGCTAGCTAAAAGGCGATCATCAGAGAACTTCTAATATAATCTAGAGCTCCCGTTCTCTGGACCTCTGGTTCCTTAGGCGAAACAGTCCAGAATGAATGGGATCCTATGGTGCTGTAGTCCAAACACAGACATTTTGGCAGGCAAACATTTTCCTCTGACAAAATATAGTCCTGAGGAAAGAAAATATTTTCACAAGACTCTGTGCAGAAATTAAGAGAGTAAGTATCTGCCAGCTGGTCTGACCACATCTACAAAAACAGACGTTTTGCTACTTTGTTGGTCTGGTGTATTTGTGTGTTAACAATACGCCTCAGGGGTGGACGTCCCAGAAAATTGACTGTGCAGTACTCAGAAATTGCCCTGCACCCTACAACCATATAACATGGGTACTGGTCACAGTTAAAATATTATGAATATATATGAACATTTAAGTTAGGCTATATCTTCGCAGTTGGCTGATACAAAGCACTGCATGCTGTAGGTCACTGTTGCCTGAGGCATACTGATTTAAAAAAAAATTTAAGGAAGGGAAGCTGATTTATTATCCTTTAGGATGTTGTAGAGTGGATAAAATGGTCTGTGAGCCACCTCTGTCCCTCGGGCCATATTATATCCATGTATGCCTTTAAAGGATGAAAGAGATTATGGTGGGCTGTCACTCAGCAGGGCAGCAGGAATGCTCTCAGTGGGACTTCCTATGAAGTTAACACCTTGAGACATGAGGTACTAACACATCACACTGCTGTTTTTGGACATTACACAGAACGCTTGGTCATGAGTATGAATTTATTCAAGACTTTCTTTCAGGTTTTAAAAGGTCTTAAAATCAAAAGGCTCACAAACCCTAACACTTTAGTGAACTATACTGGGAGAAACGACTGTAATATCATCCGGTAATGCTGTTCGCTGTCTTCTTGATACATTTTATTTTTCTTCACGTGTAGCTGAAATTGGAAAAGGACCGATTTTAAAAGACTATGTACTTTAAATACAGATCATTTCTGTAGAATGTTATGGAATAATTTGAAAAATATATGGATGTGTCAATGGGAATTTAGAAAAACGTACTAGTGAGATCTGAAACATTGCCATAGGTTTCTAAAGGGTTTTGTATCATAGTCGAAAACCAGATTAAAAAATGTGAATAAGGTCAAAGACAGATATTGTTTCACATGACAGACTTATTTATTTTCCACTTTATATTTTCAGTATTTGTTTTTATAATCAACCAGTTTTTCATTTTAGGCAACTGAATGCTTTTTTAACCAATACGCAAAATCTGCAGGTAAAAATGAAAGCAATGGATTACCATAATGGAGAATCCAATTGGTCCGTTGATCACCCAGTTGGGTATGGGTTGGTCATTTGTTTCCCAGCACCTGAAGGTCACACAAAAATATGAATGTAATAGTTATGTAAATATTATATGTAACAGTAATAAAAAAAAAAAATGGGCATTTTAAAAAACAGAGGAAGTGCTAGTGGAGCAATAAATGTAGTTGAATCACTGCTAAAAGTACCATAAGATGGAAAGAACCTGGTCTTCACTGCTTAACTTGAGCACTAGTAATTTTTCTACAAATTTAGAGGAAGCCCGATGGTAATAGACCCCATCTTACTGACTCCTTTTCTGAAGTGAGAAAGCATAATTCTAACTCTATGTTTGATCTCTACTAATGAAGCTCATTTCTGCTGCAGGCAATCCTGTGACCTTCACTTAAAGTCCAAACCTTTACGTGGGGTGTAGATCAGCTAATAAACATTCCAGTTTATAGTGACAGTGTCAATATTATAACTGAGCCCCCAATGTGCCAATCAATCTCTTTTGATTTCACCTAGGTAAAAGTGTACAAGTTTGAAATCTCAAGGTTCTTTTAGATA